AGTTTGATTATGATGTTGTTATTGAAAGGAGGTTAAGGCCTCATTTTTGCTTGGAAATTTTATATGCTATAGCTAAATAATACACCATATTTATTATAAACCAAAATATTTTTAAAATATTATTATTTATAGTCACTTTTTATATTTTATAGCAAAGTACAAATATATACAACTGATCCCTCAACTTTTCCCTCAATCCTATCTCTATTCTCCCTCAACTCTCTCTTCGCCCTCGGCAAGGCTGTCGTCCAGTCGGTCATCTTCTCCGGTGGAGCTCTACCGGAGCTCAACTAAACATCTGCCCCTCTCTCTCACTCTTCCCTTCTCTCATCTCCACCATTAGATCCAACCGCCTCCCTCCCCCTCTCTCTCTCTCTTCCCTTCTCTCATCTCCACCGTCAGATGCAAATCTGAAAATCATGAAGTCGCGATGGGTCCATTATCGGCGGCGAAAACAATGGAGGAAGAAGATATGAGGCGTCACCAGATCTGGATCTAACGGAGATGCCGGAATCCATGGCTTCTTCTCCTTCTTTGTATGATCTCATATCTGAGTGTATTCGTCTGACCGGATTTTGATAGATACAATGAGATAATATGTTCTCAGATCTGACTGAATTTTTGTTCGTCTCCATTTTTAGTTTTAATACAATGCATACAATATTTTGCTTGGCCGAAAGACGCTATCTCCGGCGAACTTTCTTTTCTTCTTTGCTATTGAGTCACATACAATGATAAAAATACATTATATTCTATACAAATATACTCGCATTTGAGTGTATTCTGTATTTTCAATGCAAATACAATTTATTTTTTATATTTTCGCTTGTATTTATGTATTCTGAAGGTTATTTTTTGTGGCAGATCTCAATATTTTTTGAACTTTTATTATTTGAATACATTCTAATTAAATACAGTGTAAAAGTAACTACAAATCAATATGGTGAATTGAATACAACTGAATATCACTGTTTTTGTGATTTTTTGTTGTCTGAATGCAGTCGAATTGAATGCAATGAAATTGAATACAATGTAAATTAGTTAAGAATGAATATAGCCAAATTGAATACAGTGTATACAGCTGAATTGAATAGAGCAGTATACACCCTATTTCTTATTTTTTGTTGTTTGAATACAACTTAATTCAATACAATCAGAGGCGGATCCAAGATTTAAATCCTATGGGTTCAATTTTAAGATTTTTAACATTGAACCTATTATATTTTTAAAGTTATGGGTTCAGTTGAACCCGTAGCTAGTACGCTACATCCGCCTCTCAATACAACGAAATTGAATACCATGTAAAATATATAAGAATGAATACATACGAATTGAATACAGTGTATACAACCGAATTGAATACAACGACATACAAAAATGAACTTTTGTTTCCAGATGAAGGAACAAACAAATTTTAATTTGTGATATATATATATATATATGATATATATATATATATATATATATATTAAATATTATTTATTACTCGCTATTTAAATTATAAATTTATATTTAAAATAAACATATGATATTATTATAAATTGATAACTAGTATGAGGTTATACGGTACTTCTGGGCGAAGAACTTGATGCTGGTGTTGGATTCCATGAAGTAGTGCTTCGGCCCAATGAGACAGATGCCTACTTGAAGATGAAGCCTCCTTAGGTTGGATCAAGTTTTATTTATTGAAAATTTTACATCCTATAACAAAGGTATATACCCTATTTATTATAAATCAAAACTATTTTAAAATATTATTTTCTATAGCTACCTTTTATATTTTATAGAAAAATAAGTATTTTATGGTATATACTACCATTGAGGCATGAAATAAGGAATGAAATAAGGCATGAATTACACTATTTATGTTTTTTCTCTCTCTTAGACAACTAGACATACCTATTTTTAAGGGATTGCCGTTACTGTATTCATGAATATATGGTGCGAATACATGTAAATACATGCGCGTATAGTTGTATTTATGAATACAACAACGCGAATACATGTGAATATATGCGCGTACAACTGGACTGCCCTGATTTTAGGCGCTTTTTGCTGCTGTATTCATGAATAAATAGCACGAATACATGCGCGTACAACTGGACTGCCCTGATTTCAGACAATTTTTACTGCTATATTCATGAATACGGTAGCGCGAATACATGTGAATACATGCGCTTACAGCTGGACTGCCCTGATTTTAGTCACTTTTTATTGTTGTATTCATGAATATATGGCGCGAATACATGTGAATTGTCATGGGCTGCTTTCCAGCCATGTCCCATGACCCCTTGGACGCGCCCCGTGGCGTCCTGGCAAGCCTCCCAACGCCCAGTGCCACGGTCGGCCCTGTGGTCTCGGCAGCTCCAAGTGACAAGCGCGCATGTGCCTCTGTCTCCCCACCGATAGCCATCGCCAGCGCCCAGCCACAGACAGATGCCAACAGCGTCGCGCACGCAGACAACGCCGCGCGCGCAGACCCTGATGCTAAAGACAAAGTTGCTGCCAACAGACTTGTTTCTACCTTGTAGAAGACTAAGTCATTTTCATTGTAAATATAGAGTAGTTTTACATCATTTTCTTTCAATGTGCTTCTACAGCTTATTTAGGTCAAGTTACGTAACTTTGGTTTATTTTTTTAAGCATTATTAAGGGGGATCAAGCAATCAAACTTTCTAGCAAGCAAGCAATTTCTATACTGGTGTCTCTCCCCCTCGACACCGTGTTGCTTTTCAGTAATATCTTTCATTAATGCAATCAAGTTTTCTTTTATTCTCAATTCTCTTTTCTGTTCTCTCAATTGCTTTTGACATTGGCTTCCCCGTACGACACTCACAATCTAGTCTAGCGTACGGAGGGGACCTCAATTGATGGATAGTAACTACACGGACATCGGTTGCTTAGCCTTACGTCGCTCTTCCAAGGAATTTCAGGAAGGCACCGCGTAACAGTTGGTATCAGAGCCTAGGCTCGACATCGGACGAGCGAACACATTGCCATTACCACCATTTCTGACCATGGTGAATCATGGGGACCGCATTATGGCCCTTGAAGAGACGGTTGATGTATTACGACCCATCATGGATACGGTGCCTGAACTAAGAACCAACCTAGTGCAAAGGTTAGACGACCTGGACCGCAGATTACTCCAGGCTAAAGTTGACATAGAAAACATCAATCGCGACTCTGAGGGAGACCAGCAAATGGTAGCCGCATAGGCAGCTAAAATTTTTGGCAAATTTGAGGGCCTCCAATAGGAGCGTGCCGAGGATTTAAACTACAAGCCCAAGAGGCAGACATGGTGCTGTGAACCTCGCCCCCGTGATACAAAAACTGAAAATGCCTGAGCCAAAGCCATACAGTGGGGCTCGGAATGCCAAAGAAGTGGAAAACTTCATCTTCGACATCGAACAATACTTTAATGTCGTTGGGGACCTAGAAGATGCTAAGAAGGTAGCAACTGCTGCCATGTACCTTCAGGGTGATGCTAAACCCTAGTGGCGGGTAAAGCACGAAGCCATCAAGGCCGGTGAAGATACCCTCGAGACGTGGGAAAAACTGAAGGCAGCCATACGCCTACAGTTCTTCCCCGAAAATGTTGATTACAATGCAAGGAGAAAGCTACGGGAGCTCCGCCAGACCAAATCAGTGCGTGACTATGTGCGAGAATTCTCCGCACTCATGTTGAACATACGAGACATGGGGGACAAAGATAAACTCTTCAAAGACAAAGGGTAGGTACTTTACCCAAGGCGATCCAAGCAGCAGAGTGCCTTGGGGACTAACAAGTGGAAGCTCGGAAGGATAGGCCTCAACAACCTGTCCGAAGGGGATACAAATGGGCCAGCCTAGAACTGGGGGCCCTAGCAGAAGTGGAGGAGATCGGAGTGCAACCAAATCTAAGGCCCCCTCCTCAGGCAGTACTAGTGTTGCATCTAACAGCAACGATCGGGATAGGAAACCCTTTTCAGGATGCCGTTATTGCGGCGGTCCACATTGGAATAATGAATTCCCTCATGCACAGATGAACGCCCATCAAGCTTTTGATGATGGGACAGATGACGACGCAGATGATGCCGACCAGACCGAACCCGTAGGTGCCTTCAATACCATAGTTGGCTTTATTTCTGAAGCCTTAGTGGGAACTAATGCTGGTATCCGTAAGAAGAAGGACCCATGCCCAATCACCAAGAAAGGGAAAAAGAAGGCGGATGAGAAGAATCCTCTTAAACAAGAGAGGACCTTAATGTTCGTCGAGATGAAGGTGAACGGCAAGCCATTCAGGCGATGGTAGACATGGGTGCTATCCACAAGTACTTAGCCTCGACTCAGGTGGAGCGCCTTGGTCTAGTTGTAGGTAAGGGCAGAGGTCGAGTCAAAGCTATCAGTGAAGTACCAGTGAAGCTTGGCCCTTATGAAGGAAAATTCAACCTGCACGTGGTGATTATAGATGACTTCCAGTTGATAGTAGGGATGGAATTCCTGAGACAAACCAACACCATGCTTGTACCGTATGCCGACATGTTACTAATGATGGGAGCAAATGGGGCCAATCCCTGTATTATCACGTGCCTGCCCATAAAGATGTCCGTTGAGAACATCTCGGTCTTGCAGTTGAAGAAAGGGGTCAAAAGATATGAACCTACGTTCCTGGCTACCCTTTGTATTGAAGATATAGAACGCTCCTCGGGTCCCATTCCTGCACTTGTGAAGGAGCTGCTACTGGAATTTGAAGACATCATTCCACAAGATATGCCAAAGCGACTCCAGCCTAGGCGCACTGTGGACCATGAGATTGAGTTGTTGCCGGGTGCGAAGCCACCCGCCGGGGGCCATACAGAATGTCACAACCCGAACTCACCGAGCTTCGAAGACAATTGATGAAAATGCTAGACACGGGGATCATTGTACCCTCCAAGCATGACGGCAGCTTACGACTCTGTGTGGATTATCGGGCTCTAAACAAAATCACTGTGAAGAACAAGTACCCTATTCCGCTAATGGCAGACTTGTTTGATAGGCTAGGTAGTGCAACAGTGTTCACCAAAATAGACGTGAAGACGGGTTATTGGAAAGTTCAGATTGCGGAGGGTGATGAACACAAGACAACCTGTGTAACCAGATATGGATCGTACGACTTCCTGGTTATGCCATTCGGCTTCACTAATGCTCCAGCCATATTTTGCACCCTGATGAACCAAGTCTTTCGAGAGTACATTGACGAATTCATAGTGGTCTACTTGGATTACATTGTGGTATATAGCCAAACAATGGAAGAACACCTGGAGCACTTGCGGAAGGTCCTAGGCCGATTGCGGGGGCACGAATTATATGCAAAGCTATCCAAGTGCTCATTTGCTCAAAAACGGATGGACTTTCTCGGACATGTCATCGAGGAAGGGCGGATTAAGATGGATCAGCAGAAGATTTAGGCTATCACAGATTGGCTGTCGCCCAAGGATATCCATGCCTTGAAGGCGTTCCTTGGCCTATGCAACTTCTATCGGCGATTTGGGAAATATTACTCCCTCATCGCGGTACCACTGGCAGAACTTCATAACAAGGTCACGCCTTGGGATTGGGGACCCAGGCGAGCGGAGGCCTTCAACACATTGAAAACGGCTATGTCTAGTAGCCCCGTATTGGCCCTCCCGGACTTGGCCAAGCCATTCGAGGTACAAATGGATGCCTCCGACTATGCCCTTAGTGGAGTCTTGCTACAAGAAGGGCATCCTGTAGCGTACGAGAGCCGGAAGCTGAAGGATGCAGAGCGGCGCTATGCCGCCCACGAGAAAGAATTATTGGTTGTCGTTCATTGCTTACGCCTTTAGAGGCACTATCTGATGGCAACCCCGTTCGTGGTCAAGACAAACAACATGATTGTAAGCCATTTCATGACCCAGCTGAAGCTGAATGGTCGACAGGCTAGGTGGCAGGAACTCCTAGCGGAATTTCACTTCAACCTGGAGTACCGAAGTGGGAAAACTAATCATGTTGCTGATGCGCTCAGTCGGAGAGCTGATCTAGCATTGGTGTGCCTACTCGCAATCCTAAGGGGAGCGAAGTAGCCACCACCATAAAAGACCAGATACAGGATCTACTCATTAAGGACCCTGTTGCACAGTATTTGGTTGATTTGGTAGGACAAGGCAAGACTCGCCAGTTCTACATAGAAGATGGTTTTCTAAAAGTGAAAGGGAACCAACTTTGTGTTCCTAAAGGAGGAGATATGCGAAGGACTCTTCTGGCGGAATGCCATGATATTTTGTGGGCCGGTCATTCCGGTGAGAAACGCACCATGGCATTACTTCGTAGTGCATATTATTGGCCTCAAATAGCCGATGACGTCGCTCAATATGTGAAGACTTGTCTATTATACTAGAAGAATAAGTCGGACCGCTTGACGTAAGCGGGACTCTTGGAACCACTAGCTGTCCCAAAAAGACCTTGGGAAAGCATTTCCCTAGATTTCATCACCGGATTACCCAAGGTCGGAGATCTTACAACTATCTTGGTTATGGTGGATTGGTGTTCCAAGTATGCTACCTTTATAGCAGCCCCACAATATATATCAGCAGAAGATACAGCTCGACTCTTCTTCTCTCATGTCGTCAAATATTGGGGCCTGCCTAAAGACATCGTTAGTGATCGCGACTCACGCTTCACTAGCAACTTTTGGACCTAACTCTTTAAGTGCCTCATGTTAAAATTGAGTCACAGATCAAGTTTTCATCTACAATCTGATGGCCAGACGGAGCGATTCAATGGCATGCTGGAGGAATATCTTCGCCACTTCGTAATCGGATCACAGAAGAACTGGGTGAAGCTTCTGGATGCTTCTCAACTATGTTTCAATTCACAAAAGAGCTCTAGTACCAACAAAAGTGCTTTTGAAATTATTACCGGACAACAACCGCTACTCTCACACACCGTGAATGCACCAAACATGTCAAAATCTCCTGGAGCTGGTAGCTTCTCAAAAGAATGGAAGTGAAACTTAGAGATAGCGCGGAGCTACCTTGTCACAACCCAAAAGCGGATGAAGAGGCATGCTGATCAAAATCGTCGCTTAGTTGAATACCAAGTAGGAGACAAAGTGATAGTCAAAATCCCAAAGCGGTACTTATTTGCGAGGGTCCATGACCCTCACCTATTGAAAAAATATATTGGACCCTTGTCCATTGAAAGACACATTGGAAAAGTTGCATACCGGGTAGATACCCCAGCTTGGTGGAAAATCCATCCCGTTTTCCATGTCAATCTCCAGAAACCTTTTTGGGAAGATATGAAGGATCCTTCACGGATCCAACTCAAAATACCAAGTATTCGAGGCCCCAATTCTACCGAAAAAAAGCGTGCTGAAGCTATTCTTGATGATTGAGTGATTCATGCCTCAAGGAAAGATCACCAAGAGTTCTTGGTGAAATGGCAGGGATGTGATGCAGAGGAGAATACCTAGGAGAGGGGAACAAACCTCAAAGCATACATGAGCCTAATTGATGATTATCTTGCAAGTAAGGTGCCGAGGACGTCGCCAACTCAGGTGGGGAGAATGTCATGGACGGCTTTCCACCCATGCACCATGACCCCTTGGACGCGCCCCGTGGCATCCTGGCAAGCCTCCCAACTCACAGCGCCACGGTCGGCCTCGTGGTCTCGGCAGCTCCAAGTGACAAGCGCGCATGTGCTTCTGTCGCCCTACCGATAGCCATCGCTAGCGCCCAGCCACAGGCAGATGCTAATAGCGTCGCCCGCGCAGACCCTGATGCTAGAGATAAAGTTGTTGTAAACGGACTTGTTTTTACGTTGTAGAAGACTAAGTCCTTTTCATTGTAAATATAGAGTAGTTTTACTGCATTTTCTTTCAGTGTGCTTCTACAACTTGTTTAGGTCAAATTATGTAACTTTGGTTTATTTGTTTTAAGCATTATTAAGGGGGATCCAGCAATCAAACTTTCTATCAAGCAAACAATTCTCTGTACTGGTGTCTCTCCCCCCGACACCATGTTACTTTTCTGTAATAGCTTTCATTAATGCAATCAAGTTTTCTTTTATTCTCAATTCTCTTTTATGTTCTCTCAATTGCTCTTGACATTAGTTTTTCTGTACGGCACTGACAATCTAGTCTAGCGTATAGAGGGGACCTCAGTTGGCGGACAGTAGCTATACGGACATCGGTTGCTTAGCCTTACGTCGCCCTTCTAAGGAATTTTAGGAAAGCGCCGCGTAACAGAATACATGCGCATACAGCTTGGCTGCCCTGATTTTAGGCACTTTTTGCTACTGTATTCATGAATACAACAACGCGAATACATGTGAATATACTACCATAACAACTGAATAGTAGCTATAGGAAGTTAATAGCCACTAAACAATAGTGGTTTCTGAAAATTCCTTTTATTTATTTAAGTCATTATCTGACCCGGATATTGTAAATACAAAAACTTTCTCATTATTTTGTACAGTTTTCTGATTAATGAAAATCATTTTTTCTTTCCGCTCATGCTCTCTATTCTCACTTCATACCTAAATTGAGGTTTAGGGCTTTCTTCACACATTTCTCTCGCAAATTACAAGGGTCAAGTCATACCTTTCAGCAAACCACAAAGACAAATCTAAACCTATTCCCTATATATATTTGGTTCATTAGTGTTTAAGGGTGATTTCAAGCCAAAATTGTAACAGCAAATACATGAATAATTCCAGCTTTTATTGCGGAGGACAAAATTAGACTATTTTGCATAGTCAAGGATAGGGGTGACAAACATGCAGATCAGATAGAGTCCAGAACCCAAATAGTGTCTAATTAGAATCAAGCGATCAAACTATGGTGGAAAAAGAGAGGAACAAAAATAGGTATAACGCATTAATTAAATGCGCTATGTTCCTTTTTTTTAACGGAGGATGTTAACGTCCGTCTCTCTCTTTCTTTCTTTTTGAAATACACATGGTGCAGGAAAAGCAGATAAAGAGAATTTAATATACTAAAAGATAAGCATAGTGCTGGGTGGTGCAATTGTTAAAGGCTAGATTTAAAGCTAGTTCTAGCCTTGATGTCCAAGGTTTGATACCTCCCACCAACAAAATTTTGTTTTTCTATTTCTTTTTTATTTTTCATTTCTTTTCATTATTTGGTTTAAGTATTTAAATATAAATACTTTAATATTTATAATTACTTTTTAATATAATTAAAATAATTTAATATTTATTAGAAAATTATGATTTTTAAATTCATTCAAAGTTAAAAAAGAGAAGCCTTTTATTATTTCGTTAAAAAATGTCACGACCCCAATTTCCCTCCGTAGGATGTCGTGATGACACCTAGTCTGTAAGACTAGGTAAGCCCAATATTCATGCAGAATATAATGGAAATAATAATTAAAGTCTCAATAACTCAACAACTAATATAAAATAACTTCGCAACTCAGCATATACAACTTCCCAAAACCAGGTGATAACAAGTCACAAGCTCTACGAATAAGTACTGATCATCCCTATACAACAATGTGTCTATAAAAGGAAAGAAAATGAAGTAGACTAGATAGAGGGGGGATTCCAAGGCCCGCGGACGCCGGCAGGTATACCTTGAAGTCTCCGAACTGAGCTTGCCTCACTAGTGCATGGACTGGTAGGAAGTATCTAGATCTACACAAAAAGATGTGCAGAAGCGTAGCATGAGTACACCACAACGGTACCCAGTAAGTATCAAGCCTAACCTCGATAGAGTAGTGACAAGGTCAGGTCAAGATCCTACTGGAATAAATAAGAAACTGAATAAGTGTATAACAGTTGAATAACGATAACGATAGAAATGAGACAGTAAAGAAATACACCGAGAATAGCTACACTGAACTACGACAAATAATGCATCACAGAAGAAAACAAGGAATGATATGACATGGAATAAAACAACAAAACACAAGTGAAGTAATTGCCAAGTATCAACAAGAGTCACTACCGAGGTACCGCCTCGTAGTCTCAAATCACAAATCGATTCACAATCTTTCCTTTAATCACCGCGGGAGCCTTGCATTTATTTTTTAAAAAAATTATTTTTTTTGAAATAGCTTCCTGCGTTTTAGCCCACCTTATTACACCGCGTGGCTTCAAGTAGTTTTCCTACTAGTAACATGCGTATCGAGCCCACCTTATCTCACTGCATGCATTTCAACCCCATAACCGTATACCACCGCATGTGTATCAATATCACAACGTTTCACAAATCGCACCTCAAGTGACCAATATCACAACTTGCCAAAGAAAGCAACAATAATGGTGTTTTCACAATAAATATCCCATGGCTCAACCACAATGTATACAAGAGTCTCAACAATAACAACCGAAAGTGAATATTCAACAGAATAGTATTTCACCACTTAACACTTTGCCTCAACGTAAATCATGGCCTTTATAACGCAATATCAATTTCAAC